GGGAGGGGGTGTCCCTTCTCTCCTTTTTCGACAATAATGGGTGTGCTCGAGGGGCGTTCTACTAGTCAGAAAATATGACGAGGGTTCGCGTCGCTCAAAGCTCTGTCCCTCCCTCTCTCCCCTGGGCTCAAATGAAACGATCTGATCAACACACATACGCTGCTACTACCCCCTCGTTATACTCGCCTACCCCCTTTGCTCTCGCCCTCTCTCATCAACATCATAATCATTCCAGGGCCACTCACATAAAAAGCAAGAGAGAAGTAAATATGGGCGGTGTGTAAACTTACTTGCAAGCGCGGGCGCAGTGTTAGTTCTCCCCCTCTCCCCCCTCCTTTTTACCCCCGCAAAGGGAGGAACAACGACGGAATTTCCTTTGCCAAACGGCCCACACAAACACACGGCCCCTTCCGCCCGCGTTGCCCCCGGACCCTTCTTCGATGAACACCCGCCACTTACACCGACCCGACCGTCTTCGTCGGTTCGCCCGTTGACCGTTTGATGATTTCTCTCTCTCTCTCTTTTCGTCTTTCTCTTATTGTCTCGTTTTGCCACCCACTAAGCAGCAGCAGCAGCTCGCCAGCATAATGCGGTTGAACGTCAGCTCCAGTCCGTGCGCTCTTTGGGCCCGCCCGGGGCCCGGGGCTCGGCCCATAGCAGAGCATGATTGATGCGGATCGACGTCAGTCACACAAACACAGTGTCGTCCCCTGCAGCCCTGCTCTGCTCTCGCTCCCTCTGACGCGCGGCGGCGGCGGTGTCGCCACGGTATAATGCATATTCGCGGGCATGCAGGGCACACTATTTGCGGAGCAGTGTCTGCTGCCGGAAGGAGACAGGGCCCCGCCCGACCCGCGCGGGCGCGCCGGCTGTTCGCAAAGGGATCGCCGGGGGTTGTGCAAACTGAGACGAGACAATCACACAGTCAGGCGGCATGGCAGGTGTACCTCCTCGACGCGCCGTGATAATTACCATGGTTGTGGCATTAGCGTCTTGTGCTTTTATTGTTCGTCTGTTTATTTATTTTCAACAACCCTCTCTCTTTGTTTCTTTCCCAGGACCTGTCGGAGTACAAGTGCGCGCGAGGCGAGTCGCCCGAGTTCAACCCGCACAAGCCGGTGTCGGGGGTGATCGGCGCGTCCTTCAGCGTCGTCTCCATCATGGTGGCCAACATCCTGCGACTGTTCAAGGTGAGTCGAAGCGCCGCGTGTGCGCGCCGCCCCGCCATCTGCCGCCGCCGGGGGAGAGGGGGAGGGGGGGGAGCGGCCCCGGGGCGGGTAGGCCACCCGGCGCACGGGCCTCTGCGCTCCGGGGGAGGGCGCCGGTCCCTCAAGACCACTGGTGCTCTGACTGCGCCCAGCCGCGTCCCGCAGCGTCTTTCCCGGTATTTCCTGTCTGGCGAGTGATCCGAGCACGACGCAGACGGTCGAGGAAAAGACTAGTGGAGCTGAGAGTTCTGGCAGCCGCTCTCTATGGTAGACCTACATTTTTAGACAGTCCCCCACAGACAGTCTCTATTTTCTCTTGATAGCCTACTACATTTAAATTTAAATTACTTAGATACAGCTTTCATACCCAATGGATTTAAGTCGACTGCGTAGGAAACATGTCCCCTTTCCGTTTCATATCCTTCGATTATTTTTTAAAGAATGTTGTTAATAAACGACAAATTTGTTATTTTTTCACTGATTTTTCTTGTTGAAAAACAACGCTGTGATCCATCAGCAATGTTCGCTCAGTAAAAGGAAAAGCGTCTGTTGCTCACACCAAAATTATTTTGAGGAAAGCTAACAATTAAAAATTGTTGTTCCATCAATTGTTGCTGTCGTAAAAAGTCGTTAAAAAACTTCAACAAATTCACTGTTAATTAACAAGACCATTGACCATTGTGATCACGTTGTGATCCAGCCCAGCACTTTTGCTATCGGTTATCGCAGACACCGTCAACATTTGAAAGGTGGAGCTCATCGGTGAAGGTGTTGACTCTAGTTTAACAGAGTAGCTGACGGGCGACGCTGACGCTCGCACGACGCCTCGCGCTGATTGGTCGGCTGCAGGTGCGTAGGCGGCCCCGCGGCGCGCCGCTGCCCTGACCGGAGTAGCCGTCCTATTTCAGCATCCGGGGGCGGCTCCGGCCGCGCTGACGGTCGATGCGCCCGAGCCACGTTCGCCGTAAAATTATGCAAACTGCAGAGCGCATCGAGATGGCCGTGCTGCTGTTGTTGTTGTTGTCGTCGTTGTCCCTGACGTACCCCTGGCCGGCGGGCGGAACGGGACAAAGCACCGTTTCGTTTTTGGCCTGTGCGGTCGGTTGTGCTGATATTACATTCGTACGGCCATGGGCGCATTATAGTCTTTGCTTTGCGTGTTTGCCGGCCTGCTTGTTGCGGTCAGGCGTGGCTGGCTGGCGCGCCGTGGCTGTAGAAGGTTTGCCCGCACAATGTTGTAGAGAGTATGGGAGTCCCCTATGTAGTCCCCCTCCCCCACCCTCTCTCCCCCACCCCGAGGGAGGGACAGTACACACCCTTGTCTTTGTGGCTTAAAACTTGCTAGCCGTCGTGCAGCCGGACCCCCTCCCTCCCCCACCCTCCCACGCCTGTTGTCTCCCTACGGCCTCCTGTCCTTCCAGTGTCCCCGTTTCCCAACTCGCTAGTTTGTTATCGAGTCGAGAGGAACAGAGGCACCTCCTCCGTGCTCATACACATATGGTTTTGAGAATATTCAGAGTAAGCTAGGATGTACGATGTGCACCCCTTCGTATCTCACGTGCGTCTCCACTAAAGACTGCTGTGACATCCACCGTATCTTACGACTGCTGCTGCCGCGATCACTGTAACCTTAGGAGTGATCTTCTAACACTCTTTCCCGACACGGCATCCCGTCGTTTTGACACACTTTCCACAAGTCGCCCGAGGCTCATCCAAGCGAACGGCACCTCCTTTGCGCGCGGAATTAGAACTCTTCGCCGAGCTTCGAACCGGAATGTGTTCTGAATGCGAAATGTGCGGCGCAGAGGGGAGGACGTGTCTCAACCCCAACCCCCAAAGGAATCATTCGGTCAAAGCCGTAACTGTAACTGTGACAATTACACTCGCTCGGCAATTGCAGTGAAATCACTGCAAAACATGTACTTTTTATATTTTTTAATGTATATTTTTCTGGTTTCTAATTCAGTCACTGGCAAACTAAACTACTTGCGTCAAGGAAAAATTTTCTGTAAACCTACCTCCTTTTTTCACAGTGTGCTAACTTGCCAGTTTTCGAATACGTTGTTGAATTTTCGAATAAATGTTTGGACTACTTAAAACAGAAAGAAAGGCGGTCGACTGCATATCTATAGACAAGTTGAAATAGCGATCCGCCAACGTGAATATACCCCCTTTACGTGCAATACCGCGTCGGCAATAAATTTGGCGCTGCTGGGAAATTTCGCCGTCCCCTTTTTGTTTTACCGGCGTCGCTTTCACGCCTCGTTTCCCCCCATGATATTGTGCCATTCGCAGATCTATACGACCCCGCCCCCCCGGCCGCCCCCGCGCCACCTCACCTGCCTCCTCTGACGCACTCACGTCACGTCCCGCCCCCTTTATCAGCCTTAGGGCGGCGGCGGGGCCCGCGGCGGGGGGGCTGACGGCTCAAACCCTACCCCCGGCCCGCGGGCCCGGCCCTCCCTTCCCCTGGGTCCGGTGTCAAGGGCCTCGCGCTCATTTGGCTGCGCTGGCAGCGCTCTATGGGGACTCCATATAGTTGCGACTCTGTACTGTTCGTGACGGCGGCGGCAGGCGGCGGCGCAGGAGATCCGCAAATAGGCGTCCCAGCCACGGCTGCCGCCGCGGGGAGAAAGAGAAAATAAAAGTCGAGGGTGCCATTTCGGAAAGTGGGCTGGAGAGATAAAGAGGAAAGGATAGCAGCGACGGGGGAGGGGCTGGGGGGGCCCCGCCGGGCTGCTCCGGTCTGCGCTGTGGGAGCGAGAAAGTGCTTCTCATCACCGGCGGCGCGCGCCACGGGGGCATCATGAGCAAATAGCAGCGGCTCACAATGGAATTAGGCGGCGCACACTGGGGCGAAAACGGAAATTTAGGGTCATAAAGGCGATTTCTTCAGAATGAGTTTAGAGTTCAGCCAACTGTGCCATTTTGTTCAGAAAGGACCAAAGCTCACTCTCCTGTACTTGTTAGCCACATTTAGCGCCGCTTTCTATGCAGAAACAGGCCTCAAAGTCAGTGAAATTCATGTACTTTTGCTCAAATTGTGTCAGGGGTCCAAATAATCCAAAATTAACGCTTATTTCGAAAAGATAATGTATTTGAACCACATATCGTTGGAAAGAGGAAGGTCCAAGAAGTCTAAAGACCATCTCGTTTTTGGTCTAACTATCTTCATTTAATATTTAAATCCTGTTAAATTTCGATAAAAATTGGCGTTTTTGCTGTTTTTGACTTGAGATATCTGAAGTTGCGAACACTTGCGAACACTTCTGCGACCGTCAGAGGCTAGTAGAAGTGACCTACTTTCAGGGCTATATGGGCACGGGTAGCGAAATGTAGCGGTTCTCTCTCAAAATGGCGGTAAAATTGACCAAAATCTCATTTTCTCACAAGTTTTTGAGACGGAGACGGTCTTAATTTAATCAGAGAACACACAAAATTGGTATACGGGGGTTTTCAGATGTTCCGAATCTATTTCCGGTGTCCGTTTGAACCTCCAGGGTCATCCTGGTGTCGTCGTCGGGGACCTCGTGGGGTCGCCGATGACGTCCCCCCCAAAAATTGGTACGTAGGGGTTTTCGGTCGCGCTGAAGCCATTTCCGGTGTCTGTTTGCACCTCCAGGGTCATCCTAGGGCCATCGTCGGAGACCTCTTGGGGTCACCGAGGACCCCATGGGCTCGCCGACGACGTCATGGGGTCGCCGAAGAGTTTTTTTCTGAAAATTACTGGAGGTGCAAACAGACACCGGAAATGGCTTCAGCGCGACCGAAAACCCCCAGGTACCAATTATCTTGGGGGACGTCATCGGCGACCTCGTGAGGTCCCCGACGACGACCCCAGGATGACCCTGGAGGTGCAAACAGACACCGGAAATGGCTTCAGCGCAACTGATAACCCCCTGGTACTAATTTCCTTGGCGGACGTCATCGGCGACCTCGTGAGGTCCCCGACGACGACCCAGGATGACCCTGGAGGTGCAAACGGACATCGGAAATGGCTTTAGGAGACGCCAAAACCCCCGGATACCAACTTTGACACCATTCTGAGTACTCTAGACTTTTGACCCTAAAATTCCGTTTTCGCCCCAGTGTGCGGCGCGTCGCACGTGATTGGGCCCCCGGGACTGCTGCTCTTCATACCACTTCAGCTCGACCTCCTCGGTCAACGCGGCGCGACTCGGACCAGCAGCGGCCGCCCCCCTCCTACCCTCTGTCTGTGCGTCCGGCCAAACAAGGCAGTCTTTTATATATATTGGTTATTTGGATCGACGGGGACGGACGGACGTTATTTTGTGGACGACGATGCAGGAACTCTCTGGTCGGTCCATTGCCCGTCGCGAGAATGCAGACTCGCCTGGTATTCACACAAGCTGAATCTGGCTAGCCCAAACTCTACACTGCCATCTGCGAGCATGGCTTATTGCTCAGCTCGCTGCCCTGTGTCGCATATAAACTCTGAAGCATTGTGCGCAATACCTCTCCGCCTTTCGATTGTTTGTCGTTGCTTTTTGATCGTGGACGGCCAAAGTGTTCAATCCAAAAACTATGGTTTCGCAACGTGACGGAATGAGTGCTCGCCTCACGGTGTGCAGCCGCAGCAGGCGGCGCTCCACCGAACAATAGGCTGATCCGGGCGCGGGCTCTAGTTCTAAAATCAACAGACTCTCCGGCGGAGTTGGCGGCAGCCCCGGTCCCGGTTCTAAAGACAAATCTTCCCCCGGGAAGGTAATCAGTGGGGAGGAGAAGGCGCTCGAGAAGACTGACGTAAACTGATAAGAATTCGTCATTTATCCACTAATCGTTTTACCCATCCATCATTTCAGTATCTCGAGTGCGTGCGAGAAACACAAACAGAAATATAATAACGGGTTGCCCAGCGCTGCGCAGCGCACAGCTGCGACTGCGAGGAGAGGCCCGACTGTTTTTGCTAGGCCCAAGCACGCACTCTTTCTACTGTTTCTGCACTATGCGAGTGGATAGTG